GGGGGCTTTGATGCTGGCCCTCCCCGCGATTCGGCAAAGCGGGGAGGTGTCCGGTAACGCCCCGAAGCGAGAGCGTGGAAGGGGAAGAGCATGGCTGCCGTGCTCTTCCAAGAAGCGACCATCCGGCTTTTAACACTTTTATTTTTGTTTTGGTGGAGAAGGAAAGACACTTCACGTTTAATGGAAATTGCAGACCCGGGCTAAAAGAAAAAAAAACGGACTGTTATACCCCCCGTGGATTTTCCTTACCATGTGAAAAAGCGGCCGCAAACATTGGTTGGAAGAGAACGGATTGAAGAACTGGCAAGGGGGGTAAGAGAGAGATTTATCTGCTTAAGACTAATTAAGACTTTGTTTATATCTTGGTGAAGAACTTGGTTTACAAGTATATTTCAAGTACAGTTAAGGTCTGTGTCTATCGCGGTGGGGGAGGGAGGAAAAGAAAAATGGCGATGATAAACTTTACTGAGACTGAGGAGCCTGATCAGGACATTAAAACTCAGGAGCCTACATGGGAACAACTCCAAGAGTGGTTTTTAAAAGAAGCAAACAAAGCGTTTAAATCCTCTTGTGAAAATGCCTTCAAAGAGGTTTTTGGAAAGCTTCAGAGCACAAACATAGAGATGGAGGATAAGAAGGAACACTTACAAGAAATGCAACGACAGGCTGAAATAAAGGATATAGGACAGGAATGTGAGACAGACTTTATTCAAATAATAATTATAGAAGAGGAGACACAAATTGATATAGGACAGGAAAGTGAGCCAGACTTTATTCAAGTGATAACTACGGAAGAAGAGACACAGAAGGAGGAAGCCCGCAAGTATGGATTGGAGACCCAAAAAAAGCTGAGGTTACGAGGGGAAAAAAAACGTTTGTCTGAACCCCAGCGAGGGGAAGAGAAACGAAGCTCAAAACTTTTAAACACTTAAGGCTACAAGAAAGAGCATATGGGAAAAGGAATGTGGACATTACATTACAAGAGTACAAGAACCTACGTCATCTCGAGGAAAATGCAAGAAATCAAGATAAAAAAGAACTGGAATTTAATGTCTTTGTAATGATGGTTGACCATGTTACATGACTTAATAATCTTGCTCTGATATAGAAAGGTTAATGAGGATTGGATTATAAAATGACAATGGTAGGGTGGAGGATAAATTGAAATTTGATATTCTTGTTTCATTACAAGTAAATAGAAAATGAATTTCCTG